GCAATGCCCTTCAAAGTAATTGAAATTAAGTAGTTTCTAATCCACATATTTTGATCAGACAACACCAAGTTTTTATTTTGAAATCAATAACATGAGGATCTTTCAGATCATGCTGGAAAGGAAGTCTGAAATTCTTCTCAGAAAACTCTGCCTACAAGCATTTTGCTTTTAAAGCAAGGCACAATCCTTCATTTATTTGCCATCACCTGGTTTTAGGGAACACATAATTTCAGTTCCAAAATACATACATTAAAGTGGTTTTCTAGTCAACTATCCTACCGATGCAGAGAAGAACAGTATACCAATCCCCAGTAATTTATTTTTTCCCCAAGAAGGGAAGTCCCTGAAAAGGATATTATTAGTTCACTTTCTATATTTATGGCAGAGTACTACAGAACTTCACAGCAGTACAGCTCAGACTGCTCTCTACCCAGATCTCTCTCCATCAAGAGTTATAACCATCAGTGTTCAGCTTGAAAAAGCTTTTCTTCAAACACCTCTGGTTAGAATAATATTCAGGACAGACAATTCAGCCATTATTCATAAAAACCTGTAGAGACTAAAGGTCACATCCTAGTGCTTGAAACAATAAGGTTTTGGAAACCGATCCAATTTCGAATAGACTTCAGCTGTGCATATTCCATGACCAGACAAAAAAACATGCTGCAGATACGTCCATAGCTCATAACCTGCTTATTCTCAGCATAGAGACCAATTGCCCAACTTCTTCAGCAGTCTGGTTGCTCAGTCACCTCTAAACGGACTAAGTAAGGACCTAGAAAGTGTCTGAAGCACACCTCGCTGGAATTCACCACACGCAATCCCCCAACCTTTCAACAAACTGGAAGAGTTCAGCCTTTATGCACCTTCTGGGAATCCAAAAGACTTTCAACCTCACAAGAAACCAAGTATTGAGAGTTTAAGCACAGCTCACTTGATGCTTCTGTAAGATGGTAACAATCCCACCCACCCTTCTTTGCAAAATGGTTTGCAATTACAAGTATAGCCATGATATGATGACCAGAATTACCATACATGGTAATTACCATGGCCTCTGGAGCCATTCATTCAGCAAGAAAGAAAAGATGTACTCAACAGGATCCTGTGAGTGCTCCTTTCCATGACCATTTCTAAAGGTGGAGGAAGGAAAAGCTGCAATGCCTAACCAAAAAGAAATTTTAAGGAATCAATAAGCTATATCTTTACTTGAAATAGAAATCTGAAACCTGTAGAACACACTGATGTTCAAGGTTTATCCCCAAGACATTCAAGTAGCTAAGTTCCTGGACACGCCAGTCTTCTGCCACAGCTGAACAGAAATTTATTATCAGCGAAAGAACTTCAAGGAAAATAAAACTTTTCCAATGAATGTGTCATTTTTAACCTAAGTGAATATAATGCTTTTTTCTACATAAATCGCTACACCATTACTACATAAATTGCTACATCATCATCATGTTTCTCTCTCCTTCACCAATACACCAATCTCACATGTTTTTCTATTCAGATCAAAAGTTGAATCTACATTCTGTAAGCTATCAACAATTCAAAACTATTTCAGAGTTCATTAGACTGAATTCAGGCAGAACCAAAGCAAAGTAGGCATTAAAAACATCTTGTGAATTGCTGAAATTCCACTTTACAAATTTCTGACAATTTCAGACACTAGGTAGTAACTTATAAGATTATACCTTACAAGTTTATATACACAAATATATATTATATTCTCTTTTTAAAAACATTTAGCTCATACAAGCAACTTCAAAGAACAGTCTGACAAAACAAACTGGAACTTTGTATGTATTTTTTCAGCTACCTCTGAAGTTTATGATACTATAGCTGATTTGTGTGAAGTATTTCACTAGGGTGTAAGAACTGACTGTTCACCATTGCACATTTAGTTATAGGTTATTTGGGGATTATAAAAGGATTTACGATGCTTTTACAAAGTAATATGCCCTCTACCCTATAACAGGCTTACAAAACCCTAACTATCCAAGAAAAAGCACCATTATCTAGAAAGTCGAGGCTAACAACTTAAAGGCTGTTTCAGTGGATAGAGAGACAAAGAGATGCCAGTGTTTCAAGCGATTTTTCCATGTAATCAGAGGTTAGCTACTTCAAACTTTTCAAGGCAAATACTAGTACAAATAACTGATCCCTATACAATACTTGAGGCATTGCTAGAACTTAAAACCACTCACAAACATCAAAAGATAGGTAAATGAACAAATGTTTTACTCATACCATCTTAGCCAGTAGCTAATCACGTAACTTGCTCCCTTCCCACCCTTCCACACTTAGTTTTTGCTAACTCAGATATTAATATTTTAAATTTTATTGAGACAGTGTTGCGCTAAAGTATCATCCTCATGATGGTAACGGCAGCCATCAAACAATTCAATGACCTATGGACAATAATAAACTTAGAGAAATGGATTTGCAGATTACAGAGCACTGTTCCCCACTCAGGTTTTTAGATTTTTATTTTCTTTTGGTGCATCAATGCCTGGAATATTCCCAGAAATTTTGAACACATTAAAATGCAAAGTTCAGAAGTCACTAAGGTAACAAAAGGCAAGCAAAAAAATGCACAAAGATGTGAATGCAGTCTCAGTCCACTCAGCCAAAAATAAATTAAAATCTTCCTATATAAAAGAAAGAATGTAGCATTTTCAGATAAAAGTTCTCTTGGAGCTTTTTTGTGTCATAATTCTCAAATGTGTTGCAGATAGAAGCCAGAGGATCAAACAAAAAACAGACACTTCCTGTGGATAATTATGTTTTACCACAACTTGTGGTTTCTTTCATATGATGCAAATAAAAGGTAAGAAACTTTAATGTTTTAAGTAAGGTTCCTGTACCTTTAGGAGATCCAGAGAGTGAAGATTTGGATTTAGTTCTGAATAGGATATTTAAGATGGAGAATGCCTAAAAGGAAAAACAGAGAGTTAGCATTTTGCTTCCTAAAGCTACAAAAAGATCTTCTGTAGTAAATGTCTCACCACTACACTGAGTTTGTCTCATCCGTTTGGATGACAAGAATTTGTATGACCATTAAATTCTCACTGACGGACTGCTCAACGGAGCTATATTTTTCCTAAGCAGAAAT